GGAAAAGAAATTAAGATAAACAAAATCCTCTTGTATCGATGTTTGGGTATATAAGGGAAATGTGCTTCAGCTCTCCAGGGTGCAATTGTGCAACCCTTTATTACATTTTTTAACTGTATTGTCTGTGGTGTTAGAAGCACTTTAACTAACTTTCTAATATCATGCCAGAAGATTAAATATGTTATGACTGTAATGTCCATGAAACATCTGTAGTATAAACCAAAAGTCTATTTTTGATGCTCTGGGTCTTCTTAATTCTCAAGTATCTTTCATTTCTTTTCTCTGTGCATTCCAAATCCCTAATTCCTTCCTTTTATCCATCCCCTTCTGTTCTTTCTGTATCACTTTTTTTTTTAATAAAATACACTGCTGGGAAAAGGGAGGGTATATTTCAATATCCTTCTGTCTCCTTCAAGTCTCACATTTTTAAATGACAGAAAATGCATATTTGGGGAAACACTAATGACCTTTCAGAGTAACACATCTCCAGCCCAAGTTAGCTCCCACACCAAGGTCTGACTCTTCACTAACATTGCCCAAGAATATGGCTTGCAACCACTAAATCCATCAATCTACGTTCTCCTCCATGATAATGTATTTGCCCCGAGTCTGTTCCACTTCTTCCATGTTTACCTTGCTAATCAGTTTTGGCTCCTATACTATCTGTTCCCCTGTTGTTTTTGGCCTATCAGCAATTCCTATTGAAGAGGTTCCCCCGTCTGTATTAAGAGCTCTAGATCAGTTTAGTACTCTGTGTATGGTATTACACCACTAAATTGCACTGCTTCCTCTCAAAAGTTTTACTCTTAGAGAGGCACTGTCAAGTTAAAAAAATCATTTTCTAATTTTCCTACTTATGTGACAAACACTTTTGATTATGAAAAGTGGAAGAACTTGGGGACGTAACTATTTTACCTGCTACTGCTTGGTAATTTTGAATTTTTCTCACACTGGACACTGAAAATAAACTAGTCACTTTCACTTGCATGCAATTTTTGTCATTTTCACTTTCAAGTTTTCATGACTTCATTTCATGTTGTTATGTCTGGGTTACAGACAGAAAAGAGGAATGTATGGTTCAGAAAACTCTTCTCACTGGAATTAAAAATAGCCATGATAACATTTCCATGGGTTTTAGATTTTGTAAATAATAATTTTTACAAAACCTTAAATTCGGGATAAAAATTTGACTTGGCACTCTCCATTTAATAATACTTAGCACGTACATAGCCTACCATATCTTCAAAGCACTGTGCAAACCCTGACAAGTGTTCACATCATCCTTGTGAGGTGAGTGAATAATACTGGCTCTGATCCAGCACTCCCTGAAGTCAATGGAATGGCTGGGTGGGAAATGGTTTCTTCATCTTGTAAAGTTTGAGATTTTGAAATTTCTTCCCATCCCAGACCAGAAGTCGAAATCTCAAAAATGTTTGTGAACTGATAATATGAAAAAACTTTGATTGGGTCAATCGAAACACTGAGTTTCAATAATTTCAAAACATTTCTGATTTTACTCTTTACATTTTTAAACCTTTTTGAAATATAAATAAGTGAAAATTTCAAAATGAAAAGTTCCAAAATAGGAAAATATTTTTTTCCATTTTTTTTCCACAGGGGAAGATTCATCAATGAACAGTTTCAGTTTTGATGAAGGAGCATTTTCCACCAAAAAAACATTTTGTCAGAATATACTCCATGAGCTCTGCTCAACAGGAGACAGATCAGGCCCATTCTCCCCAATGTGTGGGCTGCATCTGCCCCAGTGAAGTGGAAGAGCAAACCCTCCATAGGAAGACAGTCCCATGGATCCCCAGCAAGTGATGCCATGGGGCTCCTGCCCCCACCACAAGGACCCAGTGGGAGGGAAGGACCGTAATTTCCCAAGGAGAGGTAAGAATAAGCTGGGAGGCCTGGATCCCGCCTAAGCACCTTGCAGGAGAAAGAAGAACCTATCTCAACGGGGGACGGACTGGGAAGGAACCACAAGAGGACAGAGAGCAGGAGAGGTCATATTGGCTCCTGCCACCATCCTCAGCAAGATTTGTGGGATTTGTGCTGCCTTTCTGTGGCAAGAACTGGCCTCAGTATTTCATATAATGCCAAGCTGCACCTGCTATGCCGTTCTCCCACACAACTGATGCACAGCTCTGCACACAAGGGAAACCATGCTCCTGCACAAGTGTATAGCAAAAACATTTACTGAAGTGCTTCTCTCTCTCTCAGTCCACACCACCTACAGAGTTACATCATCATCATAAAAGCGACACACATATGACAAGTGTTTCAACGGTTACAATGCAAGATGAGCAACCCTCAGACAATAAGAAAAAAGGTACTGTGAAGTTGCAATATATAAAACAATTACAATGAAAATTCTTTTTGAAGAAATATCAAAGAAAAGAAATGAACCAGCCAAGACTTGCAAGTTGCTTTATTGGTAGGTTGTCTTTTTTGGGGTGAGCCATGGTATGCTGCCATAAACTGATTTCCTCCCTGTCCAGTGCACAGTATTAGATTTGACATTTTATACTGGAAATTTGGTAACATACAAGAGAGAGTGAAAAGCTTGATGAGAAGCCAATGCTCAATTTGATTATGCTTATCTACAGACGTGCTCTGAAACATCCATGTTGTAGCAGGCATGTAACTCAGTTTATAAAGGTGTTGAAAATAACTGGTTTTATAGCAAACAGAATACTGCTTAATTATGCACCACACCTTCACGCACACAGAAGGCTGGGTTACAGGCTTCAGTTCAGCAGTGCACTTAAGTGAATGAGTCCCATTAAGTGAATGAGACATAAGCAGGTATTTAAATATGTTACTAAATTGGACCCAGAGTCTCCTAATTATAGGGGCCATTCCACAGCCAGGGACTGCCACGCCTCCTCCCACACCTAATATGCCTCCAAGAAGGGGAGGGGTATCAGCTTTATGCACCTAGGAATCCCTGACACTGAGAGAAGCCCCAGCTGTCCTCTTAGCAACACAAAGAAGCATTGGAGGTCAAGTTCTGGGCGATTATGTGCAATGGAGTGAATACTGCCCTTAATGATTGACACAGTTTGATATATACTCACACACAAACAGAATGACTGCATGCTATATATATATTTTGAAATAAGATGTCAGGCCAAACTTGTCACATTTACTATTTGTATGGTACATGAGTAATGTATCTGATGAAATCTGTGACAAATGCATATACAGGTAATTTGTTTTTCTGTATGGGTAGCATGTTCCGAAATCCTGAGATCATCTCCTCCCCCCCACTCCCGTAAATGTAAGCCAGCGAACAACTCTACATTGTTTTACTAAAAGTAAAATCAATTTGTTATGCAAATACTTTACAACTGTTACAGTGATGAACAACATTGAATTCTTTTTTCTTGAGCTAACAAGCAAAAATGTGTTGCAAATGTGAAGGAATTTGGTAATGATGGAGATTTTGCTAATTATGAGCCCAATCCTGCCAACCTTTACGCATATGCGTAGCCCTACTGAAGTCGCTGGGACTGTTCATGAGAGTAAGGGTTACCACATGAAGGAGGGTTGCAGGATTGGACCCTAGATTCTTTGCAAGTGACATAGAATGTAATGGTCAAATTTTTACTGACTTGATTCGGCTGCTATTGTAAAAATACTGTGCATAAACATCTGTTTTCTGAGAAAGCAAATTAATTGACCTGCTCCTTAACTCTTAGATGTGTCTAGTCTGAAGGGATTACTAAAATGACCAAAAATATATTGGAAATAGGGTGCATTAATAGCCACTATAGAATGAAGTAGATGTACATGAGAATCCCATATTGTTACACTGTTTCCATGTTCTTTACAGTAGATTTGGTGGGAAATCCTCCAAATTGTATTGGTATCTGCTATACAACAGAGTGTAATATATTAATTAACAAATCTATAAAGGCTATATTAAAACTGGAAATAGTGAGAGAACAATGTTTGAAATACCACAGCTAAACTGTGGGGCTCAAGTTGTCTGTGCTTTAATAATATTCCACCATTTGTCAAACTGGTTCTCCGCTATCAAATTAGTAAAATGGCTGATTCTTGAAGATATTTGAAGTGACTGCTCATGGGCCAATACAGAGAGTTAAAAAATTAACTTTAGGTTGTTTATTAGTTTAGTTTGGTTTTAATCTTCTTAATGTTTCCCAACTGACGTGAATTTAGTGATGAGCCTATCCAATGACTGGGACTGGTGAGCACAGTCCACCAAAGTAATGGAAGGCCCACCCCCACAGTGAGGGAAGGGCCACTGAACCCAGCTATAAATTGGGATTTACAATCCCAGAGAGTGGAGGGCCTATTTATCCACAGACAAGGCATAGTGCAGGCAACTGTGTGCAAATTCTCTCACCAATACCTTCAACCTTAATGCAGTGAAACCACTGTCAAGGGTAAGAGAGTAGCTCAGTCCTCTTGCTGCTGTACTTTGAAATCTCCCTATTGAGAACAGCAATAAAGATACTATAGTGCCACCTGTGATGTGAACCCCTTTCCCCAAATCTGAGAGCACCAATCCTTTTACTCAAACTCACTAAAGAGGTGAGGATGGTAATAATTTTTAGTCACTGCCAACTTGTGGATCCAAACCAGGCGCATCCCTTTCCCCAAACCAGTCTCCAAAATCACATTAATTGGACTAGTTTTACATCTCCCAATTATTAATGGTTTTCAGACACTAGAATTTGGCCTAATAACCTAGTATTATACTTCAGATACAGGGGAGGATCTTCAGCCCTTGGATACATGGACGATACTCACATCAATGAGAATTATGCCCCTGTATTCAAGGGCAGCATTTGGCCAAGGGTAACTAACTGCCATATTGAAACTTTTAAACTCTGAGGATACAGAACACTCCATAAGGAGAATATTTTACCCATAATAATTCAAAGATACAGAGATTCATACTCAACCCATTACAGGAGAAGTGGCTTCAATTTCTTTGTTAAACTGGTCAATGAAATCTTTCCTACCTTTGGGAACTGGCTGAATGTGCTTGGCTCCTTTCTCCAGCTTGAAGTCCAGAAATAAGGTTGGTGTGCGAGTATATATCTTTGACTAGGGAAGAAGTAGGGAGAAAAAGGTCATTTCTATAAATGGAATATACTTTTATATCATATAATGATTTTCACATAATAAATAGCATGTCATCAAATGAATAACTGAGTTTGTTGTTATTTAACAAAACAAAAAATTGCATTACACATGCTATAAAGTATTTGAAGATTATTTCAGCACTACAATTATTTAACTGTATTTTGTAGCATCTTTCATATGAAGCATGTTCCAAAATACTTTTCACAGTTAAATAGTTCTATGACAAAGTTACAAAATAAATACATTACAGAAAAATGAGAGAGATCAAGAGGTACAGACAAAGGGGAAAAGCTGTATTTCCAGCTGAGATATGAAATGTTTGAATGTGTGAATGAGGTGGTGAGTTACAGATAGGCTCTTCCATATAGCAAGACCTGCAGAAAAGTGGCTCTTACGCCCAAAATCGGTGAGACTGCATGGAGGGAATGAGACTGGGTGCTAACAGAACTGGGGAGTGAGAAGTAGCATAAAGTCAAACTCTCATGGAAAGGCTTATATAGTTTTGAACTGGGTCCAGAGATGAATAGTGCTAAAGGCGTTTGAGGATAAGATATTCTTTGTACGTGCAAGAAGGCAAGCAACAGCACTGTATATATGAAGTCTGCTTTCCCAAGTTCTAGTTATTCAATACTGAAGGTTTTTGCAACACTCAAGAGGAGATGAAGTGGTAGATGAAGATTTCTATAGCAATGGAGTCAAAGTAGGGGTTTCCACTGTCAGAGTGGCAGCTTCACAAAAATACAAGATCAAGGAGAAAAGTTCAGAGTAAACAATTATGCCAAGGTTACAAAGTTACCAACTGAGAGGTCAGAGTTGAGGAGGAGCAGTTTTTGATTAATATTTAAAATGTTCCCTACATCTGCTTGTTTCAAGGAAGCCATTATTCCTTTGGGCATATACACTGTACACTCATGGGAAGTATCCAGCCCATCCAATAAAAGAAATTTTGTGAGGAGTAGAAACAATTAGGAGTCCTTGTGGCACCTTAGAGACTAACACATTTATTTGGGCATAAGCTTTCGTGGGCTAGAACCCACTTCATCAGATGCATGGAGTGGTAAATACAGTAGCAGGTATAAATACACAGCACATGAAAAGATAGGAGTTGCCTTACCAAGTATGAGGTCAGTCTAACAAGACAATTCAATTAACAGTAGGATACCAAGGGAGGAAAAATCACTTTTGTAGTCGTAATGAGAGTGGCCCATTTCAAACAGTTGACAAGAAGGTGTGAGTAAATACACTGGTTTCATCGCTTCAAAATTCAGAAAGATGCTCAGTGTCATTAGCCCTACATATGTTGATGGGCATTATAAAATTTTACCATGAAGTGTGAAGAGTTGAGTTTGCTGACACAATGCTGACCACATCTGACTGGGCAATATAAACTAGAGCAAATTGTGTTCAGCATCATGTCAGCTAACAGATTAACTACAAGTTGACACAAGTTTGAACACAATTTTCCCTCATCTACACTGACAGACAGTATTGCAACAGCCAATTTAAGACTTAATATTTTGACCACAAAATTTTTTGAAATGTAGACATATCATATGGAACTACTGTGGCAATGAGCACTACACTTGACAGTAAATGTTTGCAGAGATTATCCCTGGAACAGGGACTATATCTTCTTCTATTTTCACAGGGCAGAGCACACTCTAAGGAATCTGTGAATGAACAATGATAGCGAAATCTGAAGACAGGGTGCAATAGACAGTTTTTACACAGCCCTGCCACAACCCATCTAGGTTGCTGAGTAACAACAATATAGCCATTTTCACAAAATATTTTTTCAAGCTACAGCAGTGTTCATTTGACTCAGAATGCAGAATACTAAAAATTCTGCATTTTATGATGTGACTTTTTGTAGAGCTTGCCTTTTATGCACATTAACAAGGACTCAGATTAGAACAAAACAATTGGAGTTTGTAATGAACAACAACGGCCTCTAAAGTTATTGATACCAGATTTAGTACCATCAGCATGTCACAAACGGTTCCAAAGTAGTGGGTGAGTTTTGTCTCATTGTTTACACACACACAAAGTAACATTTTCAAGATGATTTCAGTGCCCTTTGAGCTCTAGTTTGAAAAGGGTAGTTTTATTGTTATGTTGGAACATGGAGGATGTTGACATTAAGCATTCTCTCTTCCTTTATCCATCCTAAGGGGAGAGGGGAGGATTTGTAAACAGGAGGCTTTTTCTTTTGTTTACCTAAAGCTAGACCAAGCAGAGCCTGCCACTAGCAAGTGATCACTTTCACCTTCATTGTAATGAACAGAATGGGCCCAGTCTTTTGGCTTTGAAACTGCATCAGGAGATCTCAGTGCAGCCTCTTCCATCTTTTAATTTAAGCAGCTTCTGAGAACCCTTTAAAGAAATATTCCCATTTGTGCCGTTCCGTGAGCACCTTAGAGCAGTGATGATGTTCCTTGTATGGCGGCACACTGACCGGTTGTAAAGTACTGTGCACACTTTACAGTCCTACATAAATGGATAATAAATAAGATGTCTCATTGCAGGTGTAAAGCACAGTGAAGGAGATCAAAGCTGTATATGAATACATACACTCAGTGCTTAACACTTAAATAAGTCAACAATAGAGGAAGGGGTTAGGAACTATTAGAAAAATCGGAGGTGGGGAAGAATTAAAAGAGGAAGTTGGAATTTTACAGAGATTTTATATTGTTCACGACAAAATCATTTACTGTTTTGTGGGGGAGATCGCTGACAACCGTTAAAGTAGTACAGCCTTATCCATCCTCTCCAAAATATAACAGACATGCTTGCAGATATTATTTCCTGCACATGTACACTAGACGGGTTTAAACTATGTGCATCTTTGTGGGTTAACTCATCTTAAGGGCTTTGTTTTAGGTATGGATTAGTGAACTGCAAAACCATCCTTTAAAAAATAAAATCTGCTTCTAAAGTTACAGCACAAAGAAGGCCACAGAATTAGTAAATTTGCCTCCTTTTGTTCTTCTGTAAAGGACAAATATTACTGGCCATGTTACTTTACTTTTCTGTGTCTTTAAATTGCAGGTAGGCTTTAACCTTACAGGCCAACTTCGTACAAAAGCGAGTTTCCATAGACACGGGCCAGATCATTTCCCACCGTGGAAAAGCCCACTAACAGATAGACTCCTGAAGATGCCTCCAGATCATTTCCTCAGGGATGGGGAAAAGATGTGGAGCTCTCACCCCTAAACAAAAGGCAGGAGGGTTGGCCTAGAGAGTGTCTGGATCTCAGGGGATCTGCCTATCCATGCAGGGACCTTGTGCTTCTGAAGTCACTCACCATGGTGGAACTTTGCAGCTGCCTTGGGAGCCCTCCCCTAAAGGAAGGTTCCACCGAGTGGAAGGGCTCCATACAAAAAGCTAATTCAGCCTCAGAATTCGTTTGACAGTGGATTTCCTAGTGGTTCCCATGGGAAATAGGGAGAGGTGAAGCAAATAGTGAACCCATTTCCACCCTCCCCTTCCAGTCTCTCCCTGCTCACGAACGCTAACCCCATAGAGAGCTCTTCACAGAGCTTCGGGACAGAATATGTTGCCTTGGAGTTGACACTTCCCCCTTCCATATATCCAAGGGAACAGTCTAGCTGTAAGTTATGCACATCCTGAAGATGATTTATAAAGGACCCTTAACTATGCAGTGCTACCAGACATGTAGAAATATCTCCACCACTTCCTAAGTGCCTAAGATATATAATCATAAAGCCAAATCCTGAAGTCTTTGCTCATTTTCTTGTAATCCTTCTGGCTTTAATGGAAAATTCCCGGACCAAGCAGTGAGTAAGAGGTTCAGAATTTGGCCTTTAGTTAGCAGTGGTCCATTCTAATCATATGCAGATTCTCCATATTAAACCCAAAAAACAAAAAACACTGTATAATTAATCGATACTTACAAATTTCCCTTTAAAACCAAGGATTACCCACACTGCATAGTCTTCAAAGACTTCCTAATCACAAGTCTGTAATTTTTATCACCCTGAACATTCTTTCCTTCCTTCCTCAGGTTGTATTTGTAAATGTTTTCTTAATTATGAGAAGAAATCATTGCCACATGTAAGCTGCGTAGCCTAATGAAATCATGGTTGCACCAATGAGGCGACACTGTATTTTCTAATACAAGTGTGACAGACAAAAGTACACCAAGTCCTGCATCAATTCACTTTCTACATATCAGAGCTGATTTACTGAACCTTTTTAATGCTGGCACTTTATTGCCATACTCAAACAAAACAAATAAAATACGAAGTGCAGTGGAGTTTGCATACCAACAAAGTTATAAATTCTATCAACATGTCGCTTCAAATGCTTCCATATGTATTTTATAGTATAATTTTAAAAGACATTTTTGATGTAATGTTTTTCAGGGGACACACTTTTTTAATTCACTAAGGCGCATTTCCAATTGTGATTCAATTCCTGATCAGATTACAATTTGTAACTGAGGTATGAAAATCCCAAATCTTCAGATCTCATAATAAGTGGTTGTATCTCCACTTTTCTCCTAGAATAGTGGTTTCCTGTCAGATGAATGGAGAAATCACACAGATTCTGTTTGCATTTGTGATTAGGTGCACACTGATGACGTGCTATCAGGATATTGTATTAGAATTGGAGCTACTCACAATTCATGGAACATTATGAATTGTATGAGCAAATAGTGACTTTTGGGGGGGCTCTGCCCAGATTCCCACAATTTTTCCTCCTCTTAAAGGCTCTGCGTTGGATTGACGTGTCCTTCTGACCAGTGACAGATAGACAGATCTCATCCACAGCCAGTCAATGCTGCTTCTAGGGGGGTTGCTGTTATATAACTAACCTACATGCTAACATTCATCTACATTTATCTTTTAGGGATACTGCACATTATTGTAACCATAATTTTCCATACCCATAACCCCCTGTTGTCTGTTGTCAATCCTTGTAACTTTATACGTAAACGT